CCCCATAACGTGAACTTATCGTAGCGTCACCACATTATAGTTCTCATCATTGTTTTCACTATAAGGGTGATGGATGTATATTTTATTCATTTAATTATTTGTTTATTTACTATATCTATTGATGATAAGAGGTTACACTTTATTAATTGCCACACAGGAAATCTAAACTGGAATGAGTTTATTTGGAATACAGGGTATGTCTAATGTGGACACTGGCGTCATGAAGAGCTCTCATAACCCTGGCAGTTGTGGCACTGAGTCGAACACATGAACAGTCTGTGTTGCGAGTATCATGTGCTGATAAATGTTTTTCGTGTTTGTATAAATACGAATAAGAGATCAAGTCTGTACTGTATTAATTATAATTCAGCGAGCCTTATCCTCTGTTAACATGTGTGGGATGAGAGCTCTGAGTTTACAGTTCCTTCGTCAAGCTCCAAAGTTTACGTAAATAGTCTTCAGAGATCTCTTCCGTGTTTGCATGTGCATGGAAGGTCTTTTGATCTTAATTCCGTGTTGCATCGATCTCTTAAAGCTTTACTTACACGGGGTCCCTCAGAAGTCTCTCTTACGTGTTTGCCCACACGCTCGTCGGGGCTCCATCCAGAGCTTTCACATCCACAAAATATCGTGTTAGGCGGGAGGCTCCCTCCTCCGGGGACGCAGCTCACGATTTGATTTTTTCCAACACATTCATCACTACTTTCTGACCTACTGCACACGAGCTCATTCAGTGTCCTGCGCCACCAGACATGATAGTCGCGTGTTCTCATTTCCTCGAAGACGCAATAAATGAATGGCCTGCCAATGTTTACTCCGCCATGTATCACTGCAGAATCGGTGTCGTGCATATTCATCATTTCGCGGTATATCAACACACAAGAAAACTCATTCTTTTTGTTTGTCTGAGTGAGGAAGGAAAATAGCCTCGAATGACGTAGGAATTGACCGTAATTGCCTTTAGTAAACGTCGCCAAGAGCACGGAGAGCATGACACTCACTAACTGTATATAAATAGGTGGTAAACAAATGCTAAGCGGCCGAGCGAGTTTCAGCAACCTCTCACTTGAGTCAGTGTACTACCGCTGCTGACGTCTCTATACCGTGTCCAAGTTGTTCATGGCAGTAGAGGGATTACCTGTATTAACCTAGTGTTATATTCTATGGCGTATAATTGTTGAATGTGTTGCATATTATTTATAAGTGATGTAGAGTATATATTTCATATTATATATACTCGTATACTTAATTATTGTGTTTTTGCAGGTAGGGAAAAACTGCAATTTACCACAATAAAGTGTGTGTGTGTGTGTATGAGTGTGCAACTTGATATGATTCAGGGTAAACGTATACATGTTTGGCACTATTAACTTGAGAGAAAAAGTAGCAAGGGAAAACTCTGAGTGTGTAATTGAATTGACAATCAATTTCTTTAAATTTGCTGTGAAAAGTTCCAAAACTCAATTTCTCTGCCTTTGACTGTGTGGATTTAAATTAATTGAAGCTTTCTAGCAGAGGAGTGATATATATACTTTGCTCTTCAAAACTAATTTTACCTTTATTAATATTTTGCTTATGAATACGAAATAAGAGTTTGAACAGTTTCGTTTTAATTGTGGCCATCAAAAATTAACGTGACAAATATCATTATTACAAATGATATTATCAGCAAAACTAATTAAAACTGTTCTATCTCCGACTCACAAATTCTATAAAATGTGGCCTTAATTTAATCTATTTTTTTCCTGGGGATTAATTAAGGCTATTGTATATTCTCGTCATCATTGATATGAAGGTTCATTTGTATTCTAATTATGATGGAGTCATCAGACAATAGTTCCTCTGACTATTTTCTTCTTTTCAACTGTCATATATATATATATATATATATATATATATATATATATATATATATATATATATATATATATATATATATATATATATATATATATATATATATATATATTGATAAAATCACACAGGGAATTAGACAAATTAAATAAGATTTGGGTGAATTTAGTTCATTTCTGTTTAATACACCTGAAGAACTTACTGATCTCTCTTTGACTTAGATGAATTATATTTAAGGTTCATCTGCCTGAGGTTTAATTATAAAACGATGATACTCTGAACATTTGAGGACGATGGTTTAACACAATGATAGTTTAGAACTTAAGACTATAGGTTAACACACTGAAGCTGATAATTAAACAGGATCATTGTTTAATTAAATAAGGATAATAGTTCCACCTTGTAGGATGACGGTTTGATCCATTTTCATTAGAAACTATAAGTTACATTTTACGTGGTGTATACCTTTAATATATATATTTTTCAACACTAAAAAAATTTTCATGTGTGATCGCAATATCAAAATTGAACAGAGACCAAATACCATTATTTCATTTTTTTTCTTTTGGAATGCTCAATTTAACAACAAAAACATTATTCTTTAAATCATAAAAAATATAGTTAATTTCATGGCGATGGAAATAAACGACCAGTAATCCTTTTTTTTTAATATCATTGAAAATAAAATAAGAGTTGACATTTCCATTGAATATTTAAAGAGAGAAAATCCTCGCTCTCAGAATAATGACATTTTTCCATATGTACCGGAATCTCAACAACGGCAATTTGGAGAGAAAGATTAAAAGCGAATAGATCAAAGTACACAAGGAGAAAAATAAGACCCCGAGTGTAAAAACCTAACACACACACACAAGAGAACGACGGAGGGGAAAAATAGGTCAGCGTGAAAAGAGTTGGATAGCGAGCCCGAACACCGCCCACACACACTGAAGAGGCCGTACGTGAAACACACACACACACACACACACACACACACACACAAAGTAAGGGTCATACCATGGAGGCTTGACGTTTATAGCGGAGTGGGGGAGAGAAAGAGAAATAGAAAGAGAAGAACAGCTTTTAAGAGAGAAAGAGAAGTTTAAAAAGATGAAGATAAATAGAGAGAGAAATGCAAATACATTAATATATACTGTACACACACACACACACACACACACACACACACACACAGGAGACACAGGTAATCTGTCATAGTCTTTCTACAGATCATTCATTTCTCTTCTAACTAGATATCTCGACCGTGTTATCTTGCACCGCTGTAACTAGATATCTCGACCGTGTTATCTTGCACCGCTGTAACTAGATATCTCGACCGTGTTATCTTGCACCGCTGTAACTAGATATCTCGACCGCTTCATCACCTTATGAAGTTATCAGCTAAGACTATATCGATAATTCCTTGCATCCTTTATTATGACAAGCGAGTTGATTAAAATTATCGAGAGGTGACTTACACATTGCAACCGAACACAGTTGCAGGTTGTCATATTTATCAACTTAAAAAACAAAAAACGAAAGTGATGTTATAGAATAGGAGGAAAGTGATGGTATATATGAGCCTCATTTTCACAAAGAAGTAATTGCAGGCCTCAGTAAGTGCGCCTTTTCATCATCATTATCATAATCGGCAGCAGAAAGTCGATACTACTCTTAGGGAGGAGTAAGTTTTGAAGGTTCTTTGATATAATGAACATCACCAAGATCCCAGTAGGGTGATACTCTATAGTTTATCTTTTATAAGGAAAGTAAACACGTAAAGGAACGAACTGCGGGATGCTTATCTTTTATTGCTTAAATTTACATAAACAAATTGATTTCGAAATAAAAAAACACTTTGTGAAATTTTATTTATTTTATAAACTGAATATCTACTCGCTAAAGATAATTATTTATATAAAGAAACAACGGAATTTTATAGAATATTAATCACTTGTAAGTTAATTTGTAATAAATGGATTAGTTCTGTGTAGCATTACTGATCCTGCTATGCTCAATGAGTGAGCTGTTGTGAAAATTTCAAGCAATTTGAACATTTTATTCCACCTTTTTTATTGTAACTTTTTATAATTACTAATGGGGCTGTTCTGTCCCACTTGGTTCAAAATTAATTATATATCAAAATGGACTTCAATCATAATGGGCTGCAATCCAACTGGACCCTAATTCTAAAATACCGAAATCAAATTAGGACTGAGTTAGGTTAGGTTAGGTTAGGTTAACTGAAATGTATTAGGACTGGTGCCTATTATACTATGATCTATTACATCAGGTACTAATTAACACAGTCATCTGGATAAACCGACTAGGGAAATGCTGGAGAAATTAAGACAGCAGGAGAATCTATAAAACGTATATTTTTTGGTCAGTTTGAATTATCTATAATATTCCTAATTTCATCCTTTATCAGTTTCATTTAAATTATCAATAGCGAGTTTTCCATCGGTACTTTCTGTTTCGACTCAGAAATAATATTACTGAAATTTCCTAAGTGCATGTAAAAGCTGAGTCACTGTTTGGGAAGTTTTTTTTACAAACAAATCACTATTCTTACTTTTCAAATCTTTCAAAAATATCCCAGAAACATATACAGTAAGTTAAAATAATAAGTTTAATAAACACATAAACAAAAGGAGATATTAAGAAACTTAGTAATAATTAAAACAGAAAATCATAAGAAGTGAATTTGTTTATACATTTAATTTGTATGGGAATAATTTCTCACCTTACAGAATGACGTAGCCTTTATATATCCTGTTATTACCTTGAACACGATAATTAAAACCTACTCACCCTTACGACGGAATTAATTATATATTTTTACTATTATTAAACTAGGATTGGCATTATACATTGACATTCTAAATAATCATAAACGATATATACATAATTTCCCTGCAATAGATTTGTTTTTTTTAATATAAGGCTTCAGCAGTTTTAACCAATGATAGGCTTCCTCCCTTTGATATGTGTGTGATATATATAATGATGCTTTTTAACAATAAAGTCTTCCCTTTCATGTGCTGGAAAAAGTGTATCAATTAAACTGTGGTAAATATAGATCTGATAGTCGAGAGTGTTGGAAGGTCAACCAGGCGGCAGTAAGAACTAGTCCTCGTCCTTACCTGTTCGATGAAACACACGAGGGAGATGGTGGAGCCAGACTCGACGTGGTACTCCCCGTTGCCAGGTATCACAGCCCGCGGCACCACCACATTCAGTCTCACCAGATGTGACACGATACCTCCACCCGTCGAGATCTAGTGACAGACAATACAATACAATACAATACAATACAACATACGGGAGGATACAATATGATAAAATATAGATCGAAATTGCAATAAGATAAAACTAAAGTACAGTGTTATACAAGGAGATAAAATACGAGATAATGTGATGTCATGATTATTTGTTTTTTATTTACAACTCTTGTAATTTTCCTAACTAAATCAATCATATCGTATAAGCTTAAACCACCTCAGATTATATTTTCCTTACACTAGATATATCAGAAGTATCATAGCAATCGATGATGTGCGTGTGTGTGTCTGTACATCTCTCTCTCTCTCTCTCCATCACTATAGGAGCCGATGGTCTTCATGAACCGTGGCTCACTTGGCTCATAACCTAGTGGGGGCTACACGCCTCGCTGATTTAAGTCTGACTTGTGACAAATTACCTCGTGAATGTATAAAAGTGAAATTCATCCCTCGGTTTAATGAGCCCATTTTTTTCTCGTGTTTTCAAACAAAAATTATATTGAAAAGCGTCGGGGACAGAAAAATATGAAGCTTTATTGACTAAAAGTTTTCCATTTTTTGCTCTTAATTTTATGTAATATATAATCTCAGGGTTTCAGTTTCATAATCATAAGAATATTAGATTGTAAAGGTTCGTTGATAAGCATATATAACAAGAAGACTTAGTTGGTTACAAATTATTTTTATATTACCTTGATTATTCCACTAATTTTTCTCAATTTAAATATATGAGAGTTTGTGAATGAACTCCGCCCACCTCTTGATGACAGTAAGACATTTCTTGTTAGTAAACTCTTGGTTGGAAACTCATCTGTACGGTCACTGGCCTGTTATATACTCTCTAACGTACCATGAACAGTACAATATTAGATTAACGTTAAATAATACAGTATAATGTATAATGTATTATACGCGGAGTGGTATTTAAATTATTATTATCATTATCATTTTACCTGTATTAATCTTCATCATTATTCCGGACAATGTAAGGCGAGGCCAAAAGGCAGTATAGGAACTTGTTAACATCTGTTGTCTTCTTATGGGTCAAGTTATGATTGGCTTAAAGAGAGTTATTTCATTGTTAAGTATGATAGAACTATAGTGTGAGATTACTATTCATTAATGAGAGGAAAAGTCATGAGCATTTAAATAGTAAATTCCTAATCCATCTTCACTATAGAACTCTGAAGTAGATGACAAATGTTCCTGGAAGTGTTTGGGGAATTTTCTACACAACTGTATTACCTTTATTTTCTTTAAGTCATTTTATCATTCAAATGGTTTAGTTTTATATATGATTAAAATTTTTTTATTAATTCTCTTCTACCATAACTTAATAATACTGTACAACTCCGTCGGTGTATATATATACACTTCACCGCTGTCAGTGCAAGAGTTTAGGTCCTTTTGTTTACCAGCGGTGGTGGAGACGCTGAATACTATTTCAGGTTTTGTTGTTTTTATATGTTCAGGGCACGAAGAGTGTGAAATCCCTAAAATAGTCTTTGTAAAGCGTGTATTTACTGAACAACATTACATCGCATTATGGAATATTTAATTTTTAATTAAAATGTTACTTTTACCATGTTTACACATGTTCCTTCGCAATGTTTTGAAGTCATACGTCTCTATATTAACCCAAATTAAGGCTAGTTTGGTGCTTGACATGTTTTTATAAACAAAAATGCCTCAATGGGTTTTTTCACTACACTGTAATTACATAATATTAGCTTCAAATTATGTAGTCCGGATTATGGGGCTAAACAGGGCGAGTTTCGGGCTAAACCTCCTAATATCGGGCCACGACCTTCATTTGCATGATAAATTAACCTTGAACCACACCCGGATTACCGACCATAATGCTCAAAGTTCTTGGTTGACGCTACGTTGGTCCCTCCACACCACACCCGACACCTAGTGAAGCATATAACACAGGTAGTGGAAGAAAAATAATAAAAACAAATGAAAGTAATGATAGCAACATACTAATAGTTTAGTAATAATAATAATAATAATAAAAACAACACAAGATAAAAGTCTAGTTTAGTTTGGGTTCACTGTGTGTGGAATGTCGTCGGCAACTCAGTGTTTTGTTTTGAAGATCCAACCATCTCTCTAAGGCCTCACGCTGATGGTACGGGAGGCGAGAGGGAAGAGAGGAAATGGATAGTGTAGATTTCCTCTTACAAACACACACACACACACACACACGCCAGGGGAAGAGGTGAGCACCATACCTTTGAGAGTGAATTCGTTTGAGTAGTTTACCTTAGAACTTCTTGATTGATTTGTCACATTGAATATTAATTACCTAAATATCGGTCTATCGAATTGACTTAATTACCATTTAATTGATTATTTATATACTCATTCACCTTTATATTTATTTTCCTATTTATTTGGTTTACTGATCGTTAATTGTTTTTATTATAATTTACTCACATATTTCCTTGTCAATAATTTATTTATATAGTTATGTTTATCTTCAGTTCATTTATTCATATAACATTATTTTCTGTACTTTTTTCCATTCCCTAAATCAATCAATATATTTTCTATTTTCAGTAAGTTTATGTTTATTGTATGAATTCTCTATTTATTTAATTTCTTTACACCCTGATCGCATTTAGTCTCATTTTGGGATAATATTTTGACTAGATACAAACAGAGTTAGTTTAAGTTTTCATACTAGTTAACTTCTCCAGCCATATTAAGCAGTTCCTTCTAGCTATACTCGATGAAGTTAGATTATTCATATTGTGTAAAGTTAATTTACATTGACTTTATGATATCGAGGAACAACCTGGCGAAGGTCATCAGTGATCTTCATAAAACTCAATTTCCGGAAAACGATGAATTGTATTATAAGGTGAAACTCATTAACCAATATGCGAGCGAATCAGATGTATGTATATGTTAATTGTTATTTGTTAGCGTTGTTGTTGTTGTTGATGTTATGTTATTTATTATGATTTCTGGTCTTTAACTCATACAAAACCTTCTGTTAGTGTTGTTATTTCTCTTATTTATGTTTTAAGTTGCTTCAGTTAACAGTACACGCTTGGTTTAAAACTAGTTTTAGGTGCTTCAACTTCCAGGGTCATTAAGCAGCTTTCACTAAATTCTGTAATTTCTGTATTGTACAAATTTTACGATTTCAGGACAAACTGATGACTCATTGTTTTAGGTATCAATGGTTTCCAGGTCTGTAGTCAGGTGAAGTCATTAAGTTAGCAGGTAAAGAGGTTTTATAATTAAGCTGTATTTACCTGTGCAGATATTTACACACATAAATATTTTTTAATAACGAAAGAAAATAAATTAAAATAAATTAAAAATATCTTACAGTGCTATTAGTTTATTTTATTTTATTTTAGTTTAGTTTCATAACGAAGAGGAGAACCAGGGAGAACCAGGGAAAACATAAACATCTTGACTAAGTTGGGTTTTTTAGTTTGTTGAATAAAAAATGTTTAGTATCAAAGCATAAATTTTGTTGTCATTGCTGTGATAATTTATTAGCGTTCTTCAGCACAAAACTCAGGGCTTAAGTCTTCACACTACGCTACTTAGAAGTCATTTATCAAATACATTAGTCACACTGGTGGGAATATAAGGTCAGGAGTGTCGTTTATTATGGGACAAAAGTAATCGTTAGTTACTGTCGTCGTACAATGAGAGATGCATTGATTACAGGTAACATAGCCTTAATTACATCCAAGGTGATGGCCTCTTATCCTTAGCAGTCTATCTCAGAAGAACTATGTGTTTGGTCATTGTCAGATAAAAATGTTCTTCTTTAAAATATAAATAATAATAATAATAATTATCTCTTTTTAATATGATATATATATGTGTGTGTGTGTGTGTGTGTGTGTGTGTGTGTGTGTGTGTGTGTGTCATCGTTGTTCATGATTTATCTTTTCACAGATCCAATGGAATAGAACGTCGTCCCCCATAACACACACACACACACACACAACTCAACATAAGAATTGGGTAATTTTTTGGGTGCGTGCAAGGAAAGGAATTTGGTGACCGCACACACGTCATACCAAGGTAAAGAAGGAGGGGGGGAGGGAGGACCTTACCTTCAGACCCTCCCTCCCTCCCACCACCTAGTACCTCAGGGGAAGGTTCTGGCGCTGAGGGAGTCATGACAACCGTAACTTGACACGTTCCTGTACAAAACTTACCTTAAAGACTTATCATGAACTTCAGGCGAGGAGAGAAGATTTTTTTCATCATCTCTCTGAAGCAAAACGGGGGAGGGGAGGAAGGGGGAGGGGGTCCTCTTCGCTCGAAAAGAAATATTAAAATGAGAGAGAGATAGAGATAGAGAGACTGGAATGTAGACAGGGAATGAAAAGGAGGAGAGTAAAAGAGTAAGAAGCACAAGGAGGTTAAGATAGAGAGAATTAGGAGGAAGATAATGGAAGTTACAAAGATAAAGAAACAGGTAAAAACATAAGAAAAAAAAAGGAGTGACGGAAGATATAAAAAGAGACAGCGAAAGAAATAGACAGAAACAGAGAAACACAACAAATAAAAAGTAAGATATAAACTACCTGTCAGCCAGATGGAACGACGGAAACAAACACACACACAAACAAACATACGAAGAAAGTCTGACCAGAAGCGAAAGAAAACAAACACCCAGAAATACAAACAGTCAACCAATCAGAGAGATAAACAGAGACAGAGACAAAAAAGAGAGAGAGAGAGAGAGAGAGAGAGAGAGAGAGAGAGAGAGAGAGAGAGAGAGAGAGAGAGAGACATGTATTTAGACCCGGATTCTTCCTCTACCTGTGTCCCTGGAGTCAATAATGCTAAGCTCATGTCACTCTGGCCAACGTGTGTGTGTGTGTGTGTGTGTGTGTGTGTGTGTGTGTGTGTGTGTGTGTGTGTGTGTGTGTGTGTGTGTGTGTGTGCGTGTGTGTGTGTGTGTGTTTTGGGGGAATTTGTATCATGTACGAGAGTTATAGTCACAGGTAAATGTATCTGAATGTGTCTGTGTCTGTATGTGTATTTGTGTGTATGTAAGTAAACAAAATATTCATGTATATGTGTACGTATATCAGAGACAGTTGCTGGCTACATGTACACTAGACAACATTACACCAAAACTCATATATATATTCACGTATTACAAATTATTATATTACCTCATGACTAGTGAATATAATTATAATAGCAACCTGATGTTATAATTTGCTATTTTTGGGGGGGGGGATCATTGCATGTGTAAATAAATAAATAAATATATAATACAGTAATGATTATCGTTAGTTACTATCAATAGGCAGGAAAATGTGGTTAGATTTACTTGTCAATATTTAAAAATCATCTTAATAAACACTAGGATAAGACAGACTCGTGTTGTCAGATCCAAAGATGCGGTTCTGTTAAGATGCAGTTATACCAAAGTGATATGACCTAAATATCTACACGGAACGGAGGTGAGGTCATATATTTTCACATCCAAGAGTTGCATTTGGTGTGGTTAGGTTATGTTATGATTGAAGTAGGTGAGGTCATGGTTTTGGTTAGGTTACGTTAGTTTTGGTTACGTTAGGTGTTAATATGGTGGTGTTTGTTTGAGTTAATATATGTTAATAAGGATGTTAGGCTATGTTAGGGTAGGTTAAGTTAGTTTAGGTTAGGTTAGGTTAAATTAGGTTAAGTTAGATTAAGTTAGATTATGAGAAATATTGTCCAACATTCTCTTCAACATATTAAGCTACACTCACACACTCAATATATAACACAAGAGTATACAACATACAACATTATCCCACATTATCTTGGTAGGAAAATAAGGAAATCACTACCAGGGAAACAGTAAACTTTAACGACACAAACTTTTCGAGAGGAAGCAGTTGAAGTCTCGTCGACATACTAATGGGACCTCAACAATACACGACCCAAGTTTCGACGAGGCAATAATAAGGTTCGACAATGCGGGTATGAAGCTTAGAGAAAGTAAACATAAGGCTTGAAAACAGATTACTGAAGCTTTCAACAACGAGGTAATGAGGAATACTTATGATAAGTAATGAGACTAAACAATAAGACTTAACAAGAGACAACCAAAGTCTTCACAAGGAAGTTATAAGACTCGATTATATTATACTCACTCTTTAGTATAGAAGTAATAGGGCTAAATATGATAACAATGATGCTTTGAAAGGCCAAAAGCAAACTCGGTAATAGAGGGTATTTCAACAATGTGGGAGTATTTTTAGCATAATTATAAAATGTTTAGAAACTTGTAACAATTAAAATAAAGGAAAAAAATATTGCCTATAAATAACAAATTAAACACACTAGACAACGCTGACACGAGTAACGTAATATAAACATATTTTCTTTCTCTTCGTTTTTGTAGACAAACATTCTTTACCTAGAGGGGAAAAACATCTCCCTTATTAAACTGACACTTACGATCAATACGTCAATGGCTGTTATTTCGTTTGTGTCTCATTAAAAGTGATCTCATCTCTCACCACAATCAATCCCATTCAACTTTAATATGTCATCAATTTTGACTCATACCCAAACCTAAGACCATGTTATCGTTGATGGCCAGAGCGTCCCTGTCTGACATGAAATCTTACTGCCCCATGTGCTCCCGACTTACTGTTAATGTAATTAGAATTAGTTACGTGGGTCAGTTGCAGATAAAGGAGGACTTAGATACCTTGAACACCTAACTGATACCAGGAAGGTAACTGTGTATAGCACCATCACCTGCAGCGACACTATAAAGCGTTAATGGTATATTTGACGGTTCCTTTGATGTGCTTTAAATGGGATTTCGATGCGAGAGGCTAAGCGAGTGACGTAATTTTGGTGCGTGAAATTAAAAGTCTGGTTGCAGTAATTTGGTTCCCGGGGCATGATAAAGATCTCGACAGCTACACACACGCGCACACACACACACACACACACACACACACACACACACACACACACACACACACACACACACACACACACACACACACACACACACACACACACACACACACACACACACACACACACACACACACACACACACACACACACACACACACACACACACACACACACACACACACACACACACACACACACACAGTTCACCGTCGTTTACTCCCCACCATCACCAGGTTCGATAAATCAAGACTCCCATCTACACCAGGAGAGAAATGAGAATTCCTAACTGCATCAGATGAGAAACAATAACTCTCTCTACCACCCTGTGAGAGCTGAGAGACCAAGGCTTTCAGGACTACGTGATAGGTGTGGGAAACAAGTACAGATTGTGACCAGCCAGAGAGATTGAATGACCAGGACTCTTCATGGCACTGAGGTGAGACAACTCTGTACTGCTGGAAGGATCTTGTTGGTGTCACTATCAGGTCATAAGACAGTGTATCCGGCTCTCCTATAGGCACTGAGATTACTACCAGGTGTGGAGTTAGTTTGTGTGTTCATTTCATGTTGTGTCTGTGTTTTTGTCCTGTAAGCTATTGTTAATCGAGTGATCCATTCCCCAATTTTAAAATGTGTAACTTTCATCATCTCTGTTTACTTCATATTTTCATAATTTTGCATGACATATTTTAATAAGGAGTTGATGATTATTATTATAATTATTATTATTATTATTATTATTATTATTATTATTATTATTATTATTATTATTATTATTATTATTATTATTATTATTATTATTATTATTATTATTATTATTATTATTATTAAAACAACATCAATAAATAGACTCAGTAACAGAAATTTAACAGAAAACATCTTATTAACTGAAGAAGAAACAGTACAAAAAAACAAACATCATCTTAGTACCAAAAAAGTTAATTAAGGATGACCGACCCACTGGCAGAAGTGACCCAGCATCCCACTGACCAATTATAGCTAATCTTCAGCTGGTGATACTGAACCAACTAATTGTCAGATAGTGTTGGCCAGACGTGAACACTGGGGCAGCCGAGTTAAGCTTCTGTTGCCTTCGTTAGTCGGCTTTACGTGTTTGTTCAAGGTGAATAACTAACCCTCAAACTAACACACTCGGGCAGTAAGGTCCCGGAAAACTGCGTGTGGTCTTCATCTACACACTGTTAAGATAATCAAGTAGGTTGTATATGTACGGTACTTCAAGGTGAGTTAATTTTATAAGACAACACTGAAGTCATCTTGTTTTATACTGATTTTCTTTTGCTTGTCTTTCCTGGTACTTTTCTTGTTTGTTTACCCACCTTCCTCCTATTTCATTCTAATATATTTCCATTTCAACCTCAGCCTCCATATGTTTCTCCTTATGTCACTAATTATCCATTTTTCTATCTACGTTCTTATCACTCTGGATATCTGTTTTTTTTCTTTTCTAAAATATTTTCATTTTTTGTTCCTCCCTGTCCGTTCTATTCCATTACTTACCCCTTTAACTTACTTGTCACTCCCATGTTACCATCCCCCTTCTCACGCTCTCCCTCCTCTCCCTACCTTGTCAGTCTCTGATTTTATTCACACCTACAGTACCTAAGACTCCTCGGCTCTACCATGCCTCGTTCCCTACTTTACTACCACTGTACCTCCTCCTCCACTTACCTGACACTCGTAGGTGCCGGCGTCTTCCAACTCCACGTACTTGATGGCCAACGTCCACTCGGTACTGCCCTCTGGATGGTGGACGGTGAACCTCTCTTCCTTGGTGTAGGTGAGGGTGCCGGAGGTGAGGATGTGCCAATCCCGCCGCCGCACCCAAGACACCTGCGGCAGGAGCTATCGTCATACATAAGTGGAGGGTTATGCTTGGAGGGCTTGGGGGGTGGCTGGCCTTAAATTATTAACTCCTGGCTTTTTTTTAATTGTCTTACTTTTCTCTTTTTTATTCCTCATCTGTGTGTGTGTGTGTGTGTGTGTGTGTGTGTGTGTGTGTGTGTGTGTGTGTGTGTGTGTGTGTTTACTATTCAGAGATGCAAAGAGCAGGGTTAATGTTAGATGCACATTACAACTTTTCCTCATATAAAACTTTTTGGTTTGAATTTTCAAGTTGTTCTCATCACTTATGTATCCTACACAAGGTCAAATGTCGGAAAAGTCATTGAGAGAATCCCTGAAAGCCAGGAGTGGAATATTTAAGGAGCCGTTTGGGAATAAAAGCTGTGGAAGATACAACTGCATGATTAGGGCACACAGCTGTTCCATCTCACACAATCCTGATGACAGATTCGTAAAAATCCTTACAATATTGATCCTCGTAGTGGTGCTAAAGAGGACATATAGTTTAATTACAGTCTCAGTGTAGTTTAGGCATCATTTTGCTGCCATTATTACGTCATACTTTAAATGAGCCGTGCTGATGTGGCACAGATTTATGTAGGAATTTTTAAGAAACCGGATCAGGTGTTTATGACGATGCTGATGGAAATAAATCGGTGCCAGATTCACCAGTCATACCTCATGCAGATTTTATCCCCAAAAGATTATACTTCAAATTACTGAGATTCACTGAAAACATCCAGATAAATAATTCAATCAAAGAAAATTCGCACGACACATATTTTGACATTTCATAAAATAAAATGATATAGAATGAAACAAGACGTCAACCTGTTTTTGTGTTAGAATAATCATGCTCATCAATATTGTTAATGTTCCCTGAGCCATGGTTGTGGTGAGGGAGAATTAAGCTTCAATAAACAGTAAATATAATATAAAACATAGCCTATCAAAACCCTTCTCAGTATTAGTGATCTAGATGCACTGTGTATAACTGGCTTAACATTAATATATGGGTCTGTACGCTGCTCGCCACCACGTGATTGTAAACCCTTTTGGTGTCTAAGTGATAAAGCAACAGACGTAACAGTAGTATATTTAGCATCAGTAACAGTACCATCAATAATATCAACAGTAACAACAGTATTCGCAGCAGTAAGAGCGACAATGACACAGCAGCAGGTGAAAACAGTTAACAGTTATAGCAAAAGCATCAGTAGCATTAGTAACGGCAGCAGTAGGGACAGCAGTAACGTCAGTGATAGTGGCAGCAGTCGCAGCAATAGCAGTGGCAGCAATAGCAGTAATAACAGCAGGTAGTAGCGGTATCGGAAGCAGCAGAAGTAGCATTGAGTCTAACAGCAACAGAGCTAGCAACAGTGACACGAGCAACAGCAGCAATAGCAGTAAGAACAGCATAACCAATAGCAGTAACGACAGCAACAGTAGTAGTAGTAGCAGCCAGCACTAATCACACCTACCGTAGTAGCACTAAACTATAAAAAAACAGCGTTAATAACAGTAGTAGGTAACGGTATAGTTGCAACAGAAACAGACACTATCGCAACAACAGCGACGGCAACAGGAAACTACCCTTAGTTATAGCAATGGTAATAACAAAAGATGATATCAATAACAGCGGTAAAAAACAACAGTACCTAATACTCAAACAACCGTAACATCATCACTAGTTACAAAAGTCGTGACGGTAACAAAAACACCAACACCAACAACAATAGCCCCCAATACTTGTTACAGTGGACAGATATACAACAACAGAAGCGACGGTAAAGCCACCAGACATCTTTGACTACCCCGAGGTTCAAATATCACATCACTAAGGCTAATGTAACTAAGTGATATGAATTAGAGAGGAAAAATATTCAGAGTAATTTTCTTTGTACTTTGTGTCTCTAACCTACGAGGGGAGATTTCCTTTGACAATTATTTTCCCCCTCTGAATAATTGTCTTCTTTTTCAGGTCGAAACACAAAGAGAAGTGAGACAGCTGAACAACACTAGACAAAATACCGGCAAGGAAGGAAGGGTTAAATATCCACAGAGGGACATACATCTCGCCCACACCTCAACCACAACTCTCTTAATGGTTCTTCACTCCTCTCTAATAAAAAAAACATCAACCCACTTAAAACCTAATGGATCGTGTATGAAATTTCTGGAGCTTAAAATCTCCAGAATATACTGAGGTACGGGTAAGTGTGGAACGTTTAAGACAACAACAGAAGGATGATTTTGTTATCGTTTCTATCTTCCACAGTGAACACATGTATGCCGATGGTGACGAGTTGCCAGCTAAGATGCGTGCTCACAGTGTCGACCGATTTAGGCCTGACTATCATCATCATTACTTTCCTCTACATCTACAACTATTTGCTACTTCTCACATTCAGGTAAGCAACCCCTTCCTCCCTAACCCTCCACAGTGGTATAAACGTGAGAGAGCCCCTGTAGGTGAAGCAGTGCCAAGACCTGCAGGTGCTGAGAGGTCAAGGCGCAGTGTGACTTTAAAGGAGAACCTTCAAGTGTTGTCAGGTAGAATGTAATAAACATCTCCAGTGTATTAATGTTTAAACTTGTTACCAGTTTCAGTGTCGGGAATTTAGGAGACACTGAACCATTCTGCCGTTATAGAGACACACACATGTTACAGCAGGTCTTCCCAGTGTTGTAAGTTTACGGCACAATAAATTAGTCATAGGTTGCGTCCCTTTGAGGTTCTCCAGGGTAGGAGTTAGTAACCAGGAGTACTGCCATCTTTCACCCAACAACCTTCTAGTCACCGCTACCAGCTTTTTTTTTTCTCATCAGTCTTGCTGTGGTGTGAAAGGTAACCACAGCTTTGGTTGTGATGGGATAATGTATGAGACGCGGGCGGCCACCAGACAGTAACATAGTGGCAGGCTGTATGGTGAGCCGCAACACTGTGAGACTCTGTTGTGTTAACCAGGAGATAAATGTGGTAATCTATTATAATGAATTCTTACAAACTTATGTTTGATTATCAGTTTACGTCAAATAGTTTCATTGAGTTGTAGTCTATCGATGTAGGAAGAGGTGGGTTATGCTGCACTTACAAAAGTTATGATCTTTCCTATAATTTAATAACACTGGAGTGTTTTGTTTATCATCAGTTTAGATCACTGAAGTATTTTGATGCGCCAGAAACTCACAGGACTGGGGGGATATTTAACGCTTAACACTTACACAAGAAGAAGGATTTATTACTTGGTAAGGGACTAGTGTAACGTAGACGTGTGTTTCCAAGTACACCTCTGGGCACTGGGTGGCAGAGTAGGGGTGAGAGGGGGTTACTGTGTCCCACTACAACAAAGCTCTATTAGATTCACGACGGACTAACACGTGAATAAAATTGCTTCAGCACAAAGGCAACAGAACAAGAACAGACTACAACTTTAATAAGACAAGACAACAAGAGAACGAGCCGTAGTGTTGAAATTTGCTTCTTGGCTTAAGAGATGAGCTCTAAATATTTCCTGCACTCGACGCTACAGGTCTGACCTCAAATATCGGTAGGAATACGGCCCCAAGATTCACTTCATGTTAAGTGTGTTCATTATATTTTACGATAACTATTTTATGACTCCGTTAGCTAAATACAATGTTAAATGAGTTATCTAACAATCATGGAGGAAGTATTGATAGTTTGTGTATTTGCATGGGAGAGTTTTTCAGTTTGTTTCAACGGGTGAGAATAAACACACACTATTCCCTCCTCACTCTCATCCCCCGTGACGCTTTATGACCGCATTACATACTTTCATGAGATCATTATAAAGGTAATTACTCTTCTTGTATTATTAATGCTGTTTATTCTTGACAAGGATTTATATTTCTTTAGGCTGTTACCATCTGTCAAAAGAAATTTTCTCAGGCGAAAACCTATTTTGTGATATATGTTGGACGTTGAACTTTACTCGTGGGAGAGAAACTTAGACCCGCGAATAATTTATTCAACGGTCTGAACAGATATCCCCTAAAGTCCTATGTTCATATTTAAAGGGCTGCCTCTTCTAACTATACATTATATCACCTGGTCTCCATATGTCTAATAAATCCAAAAACATAAATTTCAGTGCGTTTGCCAGTATCCCGAAGGGCCGTATTTTAGAGTTCAGACCTATACAGTCGAGTACTCACAGTGTTTACAGAGCTGCCCTTTAAATTTCAACAGTAGGACGGTGTGGAGGCTACCTGAGGCAGGATGGGCGGGGTGGTGGAGCTGTGGTGGTGAGTTGAGGGTGGCCGAGTGGGTCTAGACCCTGGTGGGGTGGGGGCAGCGCCCTGCCAGGTGGGGGAAGAGAAGGGGGTTAGCGTGTCCTAGAGCAAGAGGTTAGGGTGTTATACCATAGATCCTCGCGTCTTGTGGCTTGTCTGATGTTGTATTAGCGTGTCCTATAGTAAGATATCTATCATAGGGAGAGTTGGTACGTCTTAGGATAGGGGATAGATTATTCCATTATCCTGAAATTAGAATAACACGCGTTTTACAAGCAGTTGCGTGTGTTTCAGGGAGACTGTAGGGCGGTGAATGCGTCAGTGTGTCACAGAGAAGGTTTAGCTGCCGTAAAATGCGTCAGAATGTGAGAGAGGGGGTCAGCGCGTCATTAATGGTGTTGGCGTGTGTCGTGAGGAGGTCGGTGTGGTCCAGTTTACACAACCTTCTCTTTCACAGGTTACCTCAGTGCGGAGACGGGGGTAAGAGTGTCATGGTAAGTGGTAGGAGTACGAATAATTCTACACACTAATAACAAATGTTCAGTCCATTCTGTCCAGTGTTGCAGTATCCTAAGAACCTTATCTATCTAGAGGAGTCGTCTTCTGGTCTTTATTTTCAAGATTAAACAACCAAGTGTTGTCCAACGATAGTGAGAGTATAGAACCCTAGACCTTATTATTATGTCCTGAACAAGTTACCACATTAAAAATAACTTAGTATTGTATAATATATAGTAGTGTCA